TTAGTTTGATGCATTGATGTGGCATACCTAATAAACTTGGCCTTTTGCGATACAGATACAACCCAGTCTTATACCCTATAAAGACAGATACGATAATTTATGTTTTTTTTGAAATCACCGTGTACAGTCAAGTTGATCATATATTTTCTTCTTCTAGAATACAACCTTCATTTTATTTAGTACTCACTTCTGAATCTATAAATACTATGAATTGATATCACCGGCGATATAGATGTGCGCTACGAACTACACATATCCTTTCTAGACGATAGAAAACCGGCATCTGGCTTGACACTCAATAGGAGAAGCTTCGAATAGTGAAGATATCGCAAACTATATCCAAGTTCTGTGTGAAAGGAAATATATATATATAACCATTTTACCGCGTATATTAGCCAGTAGGTTTTAACTTCAGGCCTGCAGCGTAGTGTTCGATTTAGAAGGTGATCAGCAGTCAGCATAGCCTCCTAAAATTCACCTGCAGGCTGCACTTGCAGCTGTATATTTAAATATTGCACATTTTGTTTTTGTTTTGTTTTATATAAAAAAAGGTAGTGAAGTACCGACCGAAAATGCATGACTTTTCATTGCCATCTGAAAAAAGAACTCGGATGGCTATGCATTTTCTTTTTTTGCATATTTAAAATAAAAATACGTACGCATATTTAGCCTGCTGTTTGTTTTTAGGAATGTCTTTATGCACGGCCCTCTGGATAGGGTCTCGAGCGGAAATCAAGAGAAATCGAAAATTTAGCAGAGACCCAAATCCAGAGGGTATGTAGTTATTTTTCTTTGTTTTTATATGTTATAAAAAAAAACAAACTAAAAAAACAAAAGCAAAACGAAACACCCTTTTTTATATTTTTATTTATATTTTAACAAAACCAAAAATCAAATGAAAACTTTATTTATGATAGCGGCCAGCGACTCGTCTCAACGCCCAACGGCAACCACTCTCAGAGTCTCAGCACAGGTCAGTCCCGAGTCTCCCGACTCTCGAGTCCCGTCTCTC